TTTTGAGGGATCTCCCTGAAATAAAGTATTTTGATAACCACTTCTTCCCTTCTCTGCTCTTCTCTGCCTCTCTCCTCCCTCTCCCCTTCCCTTGGGGGGCCTCTCCCCCCCGTCTTTGGGGAGTGTGGTTTATTTTTCCAACCCTGCTGCCGGGCCAGGCAGCTGCCTGCAGCTGGAGGAGCCGCTGCATCTCAGGGGAGCACTGCCTCCCCTCGCTGTGAGTACCTGCTGCCCCCCTCTGCACCCCCACCCTGCTCCTCGCACCCAGTATGAAACCAGTATCCTACTGGTATTAAAGGTTAACGGGGCCGAGTTCCGGCTGGGGAGGGGAGCGGGGGGTCCTGCAGCCTGGGCCGTCGCTGGCTGCGCCCGGCGCAGTCTGGGGGTGCCTCTGTGCTCGTGGGGACCCTCGGGGGCTGGGGTCCCTGCTCCTGGGCGAGGCTCTGGGGGCCTCGTCCCTGCCTGCGTGGGGTGCGTGGCACCCCGTAACGTCGCCCCCAAAATGGGTGCAAATCCCATCTTTCTGCTAAAAGACCAAAGCGTGGCTGTGCCCGGTCCTGCAGCCATGTAAAGCCGCTTTCCCACATGCTCTCCCCAGTACTGTGCTTCCTGCTATACTGGGACCACTGGGCTGCTGCGGGGACGGATCCTGACCCTGAATCCTTTCTTTGCACACCAGCACGTACGGTACTGGCAGGGTGCTGTGGTCCAGGCCAGCCCCTGGGCGCTGAGCACCGGCGAGCCCAAGCCCGGCTCGGCAGCGGGATGAGGTTGTTGAAGGATGCAGAGGAGGGGGAAAAGAAAATAAATTATTTACTTAATTCATTCCTCAACCAGCTCCTCTGCTTCCCACCGCTTCCTCCCCTCTCTGCTCAGCACCATCATCCTGCCTTTGAGCCTCCGCGCCATCCCTCGGCGCTGGACCAGGGAGCATCGGAGCGGGTGGACACATCTCTTTCCAGGGTTGCCCAATTTGGGATTTCTCCTCTGGCAGCCCCGGGAACGTGACGGTGATATCACTGTCGGGCTTACGCAATGGGGCCAGGGTTGGGGCACGGGGATCTTGTCCCCATGGATGACGGGAGGGTTGGTGGACGGGTACCCAGGGCATCCCGTGCCCGCCGACGGCGGGCAC